GCCCGTGGAGGGGGGGAACGGATAAGTAAATTCACTTTGTGTTCTTTTTGCTGTGGCGGACCGTCTTTGACAAGGATACTTTTTGTTATCTTTTGGGGCAGATGAGTACAACTGGTTCTGATTGTGTGAGCGGAGATCGCCTTGGGAAGCTAAAAGGGACGCCTCCCCTCTCTCTCTCCCCTCTCTCTCTCTTTTAAACATCTTAAATTGAATTTCTCACCATTTCAACAGAGAAAAAAATACGGGCCACGGACCAAGGAGGGAGAGCCTCAACTCGCACACAAAACCCCATTTAGACTCTCGCCCACAGGCTGCAGAAACCTGGCAAAATCACTTTCACCTGCTTGGCTAAATGACTACATGTTAAAAGTAATAAAAGCTATTAGCGGGATCAGATTTGCCCCGCATGTGTGCTGATGCAGAGCTGGGCGAACTCCCACTGACCTGGGCTGTCACATATCTTTCTTTGTCCGCTTGAGTTATTTAAAAAAGGCTGCCAATTCTCAAATAGCTTCTCGGGGCATGTCAATAAGACCTTTTATGAAGCAGAACCCTGCAAAAAAAAAAAAAAAAACCTTTATTGTATTTTCAGACGCAAACGTGGCCCAGCAGAGTCGCCGGGTGGCTGGCGTATAGAGGGGGCCGCAGGCGAGAGGGGGAGTCGATCTTGTAAATTTCTGCTGTCCAAAAAAGTTGAACACCTACTTGTGTCACGTCCAATGAAAACGTACTCGAGTCTCTCCAGTTTGGACGGGGCCCCCTCAGGAGCAATATCAGTGTGGGGGGAGGCGGCAAAGCTGTGAAACGATCCTCATGTGGGTGCAATACTTTTTTTTTTTTTTTGCAAAACGAGTCCACTGTGAGGACGACCATTAGCTGTACTTGGCAGACTGAGGTTTGCTTGTGACCTGGCGCTTTCACCACAACTGACTTTTTGAATCGTTGTCATTTTTTTCAGCTAATAATTTAAACTAAGTGATTTGAAAGGAAAAGATATGGCCCAAAGAATCTTCTTCAGTGTCTCCTGAGCAGCATTAAGTCCTTAGGACTTTCTGGATAATTCTGCTCTTGGCCAGATAGAGCCGAGTTGTAGGATGAGAGGGTTGCCTGCCCCAGAATGCACGGGGGTTGTGGTGAATCAATGAGGTGTCAACAGAGACCCATGACTCCATCCTGGCAGACTCGCGCGATTTTGACACGCGGAGTGTAGCACATGTACAAACGATGTGGTGGAACCCGAAAGCTCTTGCTGCCATTACCTCCAGTGAGTCCCCAGTGGACTCTCTACCTCCGTAAATCAAGGAGGATCAAGTGTGAACTCAGTGAAGGGCAGGCAAATTTAAGACAGACATCCCAGGAAGTGGATGCATGGTGGGGTTTTTCCCAATTTTTGTCTGGCCTCATACTTCCTAGAGATTGAAGGAGCCGCATGACTGCAGAAATCTCCAGAAAGGTGCGTTGAGAAGTGACATCTAGGTGCTGTTAAACCGGATCTGGGTTAGGTGTTATTTGTCTGTGAGGTTGGGCAAGCAAAAACCGCACCTTTTCACACGTTTGCTAATGCATCTTGTGACGTACATAAAGTACTACTTGTGTAAGAGTTTAATTTGGCTAAGTTGTGTTGATGGGGAACAGGGTCTACTTCTCTGGGCTGGCGGATGGAGCGCGGGGGTGAGATGAAAAGGCGGAGGAGATGGAGAGAGTTGGCGCGGGAGCGGGGAACAGCGGGGAAAGTGTAGTGCCAAGCCGGGAGTTTGGACTTTTTATTTTACTTTAAGAAGGGGAGTAAATACATGTTTATATTCCACTAAAATCTCCTGCCTCCTTTATAACCACAATGAAGCCGAGCGAAGGGTATAAAAGTATATAACCACAACGAAGCCATCACGAAGCCCAGCGAAGGGTATAAAAGTATATAACCACAATGAAGCCATCACGAAGCCCAGCGAAGGGTATAAAAGTGTACCTGTAAGTTGACGTGAAGTGAGCGTCACACTTGTTTTATTTTACTGCCACTGTAAGGGCTCCTCAGGTGTCGCATGCATGGTGCACAAAAAAAGTGGTGGGCAATGGATCCCTCCAACCTGTCAAATGCTGTCAGTTATTTTCCTGCTTATACACAGAACAATCAATGTGCCGCTAGACGTTTAATTCGGTTTTGTACACGAATGTCAAGCTAGTTGATGGACAACCAACATTAAAGTATGAATATATGCTGCATAATGTGGATTCTGTGGTGTTTCTGAGGCTGCATTCTGCTGCAGTCCTAACAGCATTACAGTCTCTGCCCACTACGGTCTTCAGCGCCATGTGATGGATCCATACGGACAATTATTAGGCTCTTACCGAGCAGATCACAAAGCTATCATGCGAAGAAGCAAAGGTAGGGTTTCTTTTTGGAGCAAAAACCCTGCAGGCATGATATCCAACATGACAATGTTGACGCACAACAGAATGATTCTCAGCTGTTCTCAGTAACAACTGAGCTTATCCATCTAGTGTTGCTGCACCATGTTTTAAGGGCTCAATCAGGCCATCTATAAGCCAGAGCCATTAAGCCAAAGGACAAATTAGCTAACACAGCCATAAACACATGATTATTTGCATTAACAGCTGAAGTATCTCCTGAGCGTTTTTGCATGTTAGATGTTTCAGATTTCTGAGCCTCCTTACTTTCCGCAGTTTTGAGGAGGTGATGGGAATGGTTAGGGCAGTGGGTGACAGGATCTCATAAGCCACTCTTGCCGTGACAAACATGACAAACTCTATTTATGCAATATGTCAGTTTAATTTGAGTACCTACCAAGCGGTTTGTTCTGCATGATAAGCAAAAACAATTTTGTTAGTTCCGTCTATAAAGTTCTGAATCCATCCATCCACCTTCCATTCTGTTACAGGGTCATGGGAGGCCTGGAACCTGCCCTAGGTGTAACAAGGCACAAGGTTGGCTTACACCCTGGGTGGAATGACAGTCTATCCCAGGGCCCTTACTGTGTGTTTATACACTTTGGGCAATTTAGAGGTGTGCATTAGCCTAACTGCGTATCTTTGTAAGCCAGGTGGAAAATGGAGTACTTAAAGGAACCTGCTTGACACAGCGAGAACATGCGACCTCCACGTGCGGAACTGATGTGAGATTCAAACCCTTAGCGCTGGAAGAGGGAGACAGCAGATCTACCCACAGAGCTCCTGTGCCGCCCAGCTGCAGCAGGCGTGATCCAAATAAAACAATAACAAAACATTTTATTATTTTGTTATCTTTCTGCAAAGACCATTATTAAATTCAGGCCTAGCCCAGCAAGGGGATAACTAGATAATTGTGTTAATAGGATCGGAGAGGGGATCAGAGGTCGATGCTGGCAACAGCAGACCTGTGGCATCCCGGTGACCTTTTACCTCCTTGGCTGACCTCGCAGTGACCGTACCGGGCCAATGGTCTGAGCAGTTTCACACTCCTTCTCACCCGGTCATTCCCCTGACCTCAGCAAAACCCCTTTCTCCTTCTCCTGACATAACTCTGGAAAAGAAAACCCACCAAATCTAGATTCGGTTTATTTTTTCAGGTGAGCAAACTATATCAAATATACTGGTTTCTCAGTTGTTTCTAATTAGGCTTCTGGAATTCTGCTCTCTCGTCCGCAGAATGGACCCGGTCAGCCCAGCCCTGGCTGTCGTGAATTTCATACAAGTTATTTGAGGGAGATCACTGATGGTTAGCAGAGGGAAGCTGCCTTATTATGCAAAAAGAGTTTTCATTTTCTGCTTTCAGGCAACCACAGGATTTAAGGGAAGGACGGCTTGCCTATCACACCAGTACCTTGAATGCCTTTTCCTGTCGATGCTTTCGATTTCAAGGTTCTGCAACTATTTTTGATAAAATTCAAACACTGGGCATATCGACCGAGACGGCTGTAGGAATCCTGTAAGAAGCAGCATTGTTTCATTTGTTTCAGGGACTTTGACGAACAGGCAATTTCATCACAGTTATTCATTTCTATTCGACCATTTTTGTTTTCCAAGGTATTGATTACAAATGAACAACGGCACAGATGTTCAGTTCTAGAACACTGCACCTCCCTCAGGCAGAAATACAAACTACAGCGGTGGGGGGGGGGGGGGGGGACTCCCCTTTCCTAACTTTCGTCAAGTGATATATTTTGCCACCCTGCAGAGTGAGGTTCACCTTGGTGAAAAACACAGCATAATTCTTTTGTCTTGTAATACTGCCCTCTAGTGGACGATGCAAGAAGCTGGATTTCTCTCTGCACTCATGGCTCCGAAGTTGCATTGGGGAAGGCAGAAAAAAATTAAATGTGAAGCCGTTTATCTCGCTGCAGCACCTTTCGTAAGGACAACAGAAAGTCAGCCTACAGCACAAAAATGACCTGAGATCAGTGTTTGGGACAAGGTGTCTCATTGCTGGTCCTGGTGGGCACATTTCCAGCGCTGAATGAGATCCGTCGCATTGGTGTTAACTCATATTACATGTAGTATATTTGTGCATGTGACAGTGTGGGCTGGGAATACACACACACTAGGTCTGGGCAGGGATCCTGTGCATTTGGAGTCTTGATTTTCAACCTAGGTGTGTTATTATGGGATGGGGAGTCCTGCACATGCCTTATTAAATAGCAAATGTGTTAAGGTAGCTGAGCCGGCCTGGCAGGAATCCATTTATAAACTGAAAATGAAGGATTAGCTGCATTAAAGGGGGCCAAACAGAATGGAAACAGATGTCTGGTCGTAAGAGTTCCGATTTATCAGAAGACTGTGGGATATTCTTGAAATTAGTCAAGGCTTTGATGTCACTGTTCAGATTTCATGGCTCAATCATAGAAGAAAGAGACCACAGAATGAGGAAATTTAGTTCCTTATGAATTATATTTGTTAATATTACCTTTATTATTGTAAAATATTAAGTATCACTTTGTCAGGCCATAAATGCAATTTCAGAAGAAATCAGACACTGAAAGATAAATTATGAATGTAATTTAAAATCATTTGCAAATTACTGAGCCTTTAAACTCAAATGTCCAGGACTGCACAAGAAAGAAATGAAACAAGCACAGGAAGAAAAAAATCACATGGATGTGGATTTTTTCAAATTCAGTCTAGAAATCAAACATACAAGTAGGCAAACAGGTCACATCAACTTCTAAAGTGATAAAGCATGAAATTTCCTTAAACCAGAGTTAAGCTAGGTAGTGTAAAGCCTTCGTGGAAGGTGAGGAAATAAAACTCAAAAACTGGAAACCCTGACACATAATCTGCCGTCTGGAATCTGGAACACAAGAAACGGGATTCGACAGACAAAAACAAATGCATGGCAGTAAACTCTAAAAGCCGGGGAGTCAAACTACAATCTTGAATCTTGACCTAACAGGAAGAGGGTACCAATAATATTAAAACTGCATTAAAACACACTACTTTCAAAGGCACTTTCAGGGGAACAGGCCGCCACGGACAGGTGTCACTCCTGTTTTTAGCTTTTCTGTGGTCTGTGTGCATGTTTATTTAGCAGCAGCAACACAACAACATTTCCAGGAATGTTGCCAATGTTGCAGGACATGAGAATGACATTTATAACATGCATCTCTTCAGATGGGGAGACCCAAGGAGGATCCCTGTGCTCAACAAGGGAGCGTCAATGTCACATTTGGCAGCTCGGGATATAAAGGGAGCCGGTAAAGTATGACCATGTCATGACTTAATCCCATAATGTGAGTCTCACCCAACATTTCAGAGCCCCTCCCTTTTGGCCCCAGAGAAGGTCATCAGACATTTACAAGCAAAAGCTGAAGATAATTGCAAATTTGACACTTAGTATTTCATTGTAACTATCACACATTCACATTTAAGGAAATCTTCCTAATTAAACCCAGTAGCAGTCAAAGCACATGTGGCTCCTTGGGCAAGCATCACCGCTGCCACTGCCTATCTGAGACAAAGCGAAATTAACTGGCTAGGACGGATATTGCCTAAAGGGTTGACTGGCACTCCCTAAACCAACTTCAGGGGCAGACATTCAGTTCAGCCCATTCTTGGGTAATATTAACACATCCGATCTGACAGCATATAACGTCAACAGTGCTGAACCAGTAAGTGAAAGACACAAGTCACAGGACTGGGTCTGTGCTGACAGTGATCTGGGTGTCACATTACAGTACTATGAATGAACTGTCCTCCAGGGAGACTCCTTACTTACACAAATCACACTCCTGAAGTAATAAGTTAACCTTGCATTTCAATGGGAGAGAAAATCACAAAACACAAAGACTAAGGTAATAATTAATTCCTCTGAAATGCTAGTGAACGTGAAATCAAAAAGTCTATAAGTATTCTAGAAACTATGTATCTCTTAACTGGTTAATTTTTTATGCGCTTTTAAATATTTTAAGACAAAGTACAAAAACGAACAAAGGACAATATGAATAAAAAGGACAAAGGAATAAAATATTACTCCATCTTTCATGACGTTAAAGGGGAATACCAGATATGTCTTGAAATCAAATCGCAGATATAAACAAATGACAATGTCTGATGATTTGTTAATTATATTAAAATTTCTAACAGAGCTACATAAAAGCAACACAACGGCAAAGTATGGTAAGACTACATTTTGTAAATGTATAAAACAGTGAAAACCTATTTAAAGTGTATAATATAGATTGAAAGGTTCAAAAATAAAAAAGATAATTTAAAATTACACATACAGCATTCAATTAGATCAATTCAGCTTTGTGTTCTTAAAGAATTACTTACGTTTACTATGAAGCGCACACGCTACCTAAAAACAAATCTGATTGCACTCGTTTGTTGAAATAAGCACTAAAAACATGTAATGCAATTTATTTACAACATTGAGCATAAAAAAAACTTTTATACCCATTTGTTAAACTAAGAATTAGGGATGCTCCGATCGATCGGCCGAAGATCGGTATCGGCCGATAATCACATTTTATGACTTGATCGGTACTCGTTAAACTTGGCCGATCTTAGGAACCGATCACAATTGATGACGTCAATGCGTGAGGACGTACACGATGAGTGAGGACGTAAATGTTTTGGCGCCGCAGTCATGTCATCGCCGGTGTGGAATTACTATGACGTTTCGAGAAACAATGAAAAATTCGCTATTTGCCGTTTATGTTCCAAAGAAATCTCACGTGGAGGCGCATTGTCCAAAACATTTAATACAACTTTTTAGGAGATGAAATGTTTATTTTGTCCTTTACCATTCACTGTAGTACTGGACAATGATTAAATAAACCTTGTGGGTTGCATCAGCCGGCTCCATTTTGTTTATTAATTTTTGTCTCATATTAAGTATCCTGATGTGCATAGTGTTATGCATAAACCACATTGTAAAGGCATATTAAAATGTTCACTATATAATAAATACTTTGTGATTATTTAGTACTCTGTTAAAACAATAGTTACATTAGATATATTACTGTAAAAATATAACAAAAATATAACAAAGGCAACATTTATAGTATTACTTTATCTGAAAAAAAGTTAATGGTGATCAGAGAGCTTACATATCAGTTATATAAACTTGAAGCATCAGAATCGGCATTGGTATCAGCCGATCACCATGACAAAAAATCGGTACTTGGTATCGATGGCGAAAACCCTGATCAGAGCATCCCTACTAAGAATTCAAAACCGAAGGAAACAATGCCAAAATCAGTAATGTCAATGTACTGCTTAGAAATTGCACACAACGCTTGAAATGACCAAAAATGTAATTAATTACTGATGTATTTTTAGGCCCATTACACACTTCAAATTCTCCAGTCTGATGTACTAATTCAAACCCAGAGGATCAAGGATATTCTGCTCACAAGTAATGGCAGACATTGGCAGACATTGTTGCAGGTGCAATTCAGAGGAAATCAGATAATTATTTCTGAAAAAAAAAATTCAGGACTACATTTAAACATAAAAGACTGAAATGGACAAAAGCATCTGCTAAATAAATAAATGCAAATAAATAAATGAATAAATGAACTGGGCTAAACACTGATCAAGAATAAACGTCTCCATATGGTACAAGTGCTCAAGTCACCAGGTACAGCTTTGTTGTGCCACTAGCTGTTTAAGTATAATATTTGCTTATAGACCTGGATGTTTAAAAACAGTGACATTTTTTGAGATACTTGAGTGGTTTGTAGTTGTTTTTGCATCATAACAACTAGGGAGGGGGGCTCATCAGTAAATTATGATGCGTTGAATGCCATTTGGCTGGGATAAGCACCTTTGCTTTGGTGGAACTGCACCAAAGACCAGATGAGCCCATGATGGTGCTTGGCGGAGAGGCAGGTGTGTTTGGGTACAGTGGTGTTGGTCCAGGTGGCTGGGCCCATGTGATTACAGGGCCGTCGATTTGTAGCCCTAATCTGAAGGAGGCAGAGAGAAAATAGGTAAATCCCTTGGGCACACAGACAGCTTACAAAAAATTGCTTACTCTTCAACAACTATAATAGGAATAAATTATAAATTTAAATAATGGTTAAATGCAAAATTATACATGAGGTTATCTGCAATATAAGAAACAAACAGGAAGCACAGAGTGAATGCTTGTGACAAGAAATATGACACTATAAAATACCTACCACTTTTATCCACAGCAACTTACATAGACGGTTAATGTTATGTGTGCCCACTCTGATTTGAACCCACAACCTTTGCATTAACACAGTGTTCTATTTGTTGAACTACAGGAACAGTAATTGACAAGATTTATTGCATTTGTATAAAATTTATTTGCAGCTGTAGGCAAAGTTCTGCTAATTCGCTAACCACCAATTAGCAAAGTTAACTTTTTTGTCAAAGGATTAGCATTTCATGCCAACTTTGAAAACCATTAGTGGACCAATTAGCTTCTGCTAAATATAGTTCTGTTTTTAGTAATGCGAGAGAGAGAGAGAGAGAGAGAGAGAGAGAGAGAGAGAGAGAGAGAGAGAGACTTTTTGACTTTGCACCAGCCTTTATTTTGAGAGAGAAAGAGAGAGAGAGAGAGAGAGAGAGAGAGAGAGAGAGAGAGCACCTGAAAACTACTGTGCTTTATCCAATGTTCTACTATCTTATCAACATAATATAATTACAGGCTACATTTGGGTTTTCTACTCTGAGTATACAGTGCAGATGTAGCCTCCACTTTCTACTTTAATAAATACAATTGGGAAAATGGTTAAAATAAATTTATAATTTAGATTTCTTAGTGTGTATGATGCATAGCCTAGACATTGAAACTATGGTGAAAGATGTCAGTTATATAATTTTTGAAGTATGATGTCAGTATGACTATCGACATCTTTTAATTGTCTATTTTTGCTCAAAACTGTTTACTGCATACGTGAAAAAAGGCGCCACTCCGACTTTCTAGATAACGCGCCACTGCTGCGAGGCATGTGCCACGCCGGAAACACGCATCTCACGTAGGCAGTGTGGCTGCTCTAACCTGTTAACATGGGTGCCGAAATGAAAATCAACCGGTTCCGCAGCTGCTATGCATGCGCCATGCATCCAGTGTGTCCCGGACATTACTGAGGCAAAGTACGTTACTATAAGGGTATTTTGGTCAGTTTACTAAGTCTACAAGTTTACAGTAAATAAACTGTATGTTGATTGTTGACTGCAAAGTTATTTTAATTTCATCTGTTCAGTTCATTGAATTATTTGTGTAAACCTTGATCATCATTTGATCTTGGCATGCTATACTGTTGTGGAAAGCTCTATGTTTAAGCCACAACATATTAAAATTACAGCTCTCTAGGTATGTTTTTAGTAAAAGTTTTTAATAAAAGTCAGTGGTTAGTGATTATCCTTAGCTTCTGCTACATTTTTAGTGGTTTAGCTTCATCGAATTAGATGTTGGCGTTAGCAGATTAGCAGTTATCGAAGCTAACTGTTTGCTTAGCTGTGCCCACTGTTTACTTGTACCTGGCTGGATCTAATCTAATCAGCTTTATAGCATAACTGGACTCTGTTGCTGTTTAAATTAAACACTTTATGAGACACAGTAACCAACCTGATCAGCTGTTCCCAGAAGGTGTGTGGGATGAATGGCACTTGTTTTTCTGGAGAGAGAATTGCAGTTAGTTTCAGCGAGCAGCTCAGCCACTGTAAGCATACAGTGCACTGCGTAAGGGCGCAGTGCAGGTACGCATACCTTTTTGTGCAGGTGGTAGTGCAGCCTGCGGTCTGACAGCCAGGGGTGCTTCAGTGCCTCTGCTGCACTCATCCTCCAGCTATGAGGTCAGACAAATAGACATGGGCCACCATACCAAGCCTGGACCTTCAGGAGACTCACAAGATGAGCTGTATCCTTATTTATTTTTCTATGCTATGGTCCATTTGTTATTTCATACCCTGATATAATAACTTATTTGTTTACTCATTCTTATATTTCACTGCTTTGCCTGCACTGTCTTGTCTTGCATTGCACACTGTTTGTCCAATCTCATGAAGCCCCACCCTAAACTGCAACACAAGAATTTCATTGTGTTCCAGGGTGAGTGACAGTGAAACTTGGACCTTGTCACAGCCCAGGAAATAAAGTGTTGACTTGCTAAAGACATACAAACTAGCAAAGTCCCAGCTGCCTCAATCACAGTCACCAAATAACACAGCTGTGGCCTCCACTGCAGGTCTGAAGGTGATCGTGTTCATCACTGGAGCCATTTAAGGGCAGTGCCCATAAGACTTACCTCTTGCTCTTGACTAGGAGCCTGGTGATGAAATCTTTGGCCTCGTCAGAGATATCCATAAACTCCTCGTCCTCAAAGGTCCACTTGCAGGAGAGGATGTTGTTCAGTGTCTCATTGTCATCCTCTCCAAGGAAGGGCGACAGTCCGCTGAGCCTGCCAGCAGGTGGCAACGTTGGAGAAGGAGTTCTACAATGTCACTACGCTGAAAGATCTGCATCACTATATGTAAGGTCTCTCTTCTCCAGGAGGCTATTTCAATAGCCTTGTATAAAAAAGGCACCATTTTACAATAAGGCTCCCTTTTGCCACTTATAAATGGTAGTAACTCATTAATTAAAAAAACACTTTATTATAATGTTTATAATTGTCTATTAATGACTTACAAAGTCTTACAACCTAATTGGTAACCTGATTATAAACCATTCATAAACCCTTCATAAGGGTAGTCTTATTGTAAAGTGGTACCTAAACCAATGAACCAATAGCCATGGTTTGTGTTAGGCCACGACTATCAAATGTCTTGTCTTCACATAAAAATTTCAAGAGTACAGTGTTCTGTATGCACTCAAAATGGGTTATTAAGAGTTAGTGAATAAAGCTTTAGAATATCATGGATTCCCTGTCCCCTCAATGTGTCTGTGTCCCCCCCACTCATGGTTCATGTCAGTGGGCACCCCCGGCTGCATCACTCACAGCATGTAGGTAATGACTCCCAGGCTCCATGTGTCTGTGGGGAATGACACAAACTCGTAGTTGATCACCTCTGGGGCCAGGAACTCTGGCGTGCCAAAGTTAATCCGCAGCTTCTCCCTGGGTTTATACCTGCATTGGGCAGCATGGGAGGATTCAGTGAAGATTAAGACCTTAAAGTACATCTGTGCGAAAGAGTAATCAAAATATCTAGCTGGAACACTCTTTTAAGTGAAATCACATAATTATGATGACCAGTTACCTGATATATCAAACACACAATATTCAACAGGGATAAGTGCTGATCCAAATAATGTAGAACATCCAGTTAAATTAAGCAGATACTGGTAGCTGCTGTGGAAAACATATTAGCAGTAACAACCAAAAGGGGCCATCAGAGGTATCATTCACCTCCTCGCCAGCCCGAAGTCGATGATCTTTATTTTGTTTGTTTCTCTGCTCACACACAGAATGTTCTCAGGCTGCAAAAGCAAATAGGGAGTTTAATCAATCAAAGGGGAGTGATACGCGCTGTAAAGACAGGCCATGACACTGTTTCTCAGACTTAGTTCTCTGGTGTGGGTGTGGCACCTCACCTTCAGGTCCAGGTGCAGAATGTACCTCTGGTGCATGTACTGCAAGCCCTCACTGATCTGTCTGATGAAGAGCACCGTGTCCAGCTCGGTGAGGTTGTAGTTCTCATCAATGATGCGGTCAAACAGTTCACCTCCAGCCACACTGCAGCAACATGGATGAAGCATCATGCCACCCAGCACAGAGAGACCTTATCATCACCCATGTAATAAGTTAATAATACACTTTTTTCAGTTACTAGAGGAGGCTACCTTTCTGACAAACACATGGGATGACCCCCACTAGGTGGCACTGTGGAAATGACTAGTATATTTTTGTGCCACAGATTAGGCCTGATGTCATAAAGCTGAGGGATATGACAATTTATTGGGTAACCGAAAACCCACAAAAAATGTAAGTACATTTATTTTCACCAATAAACAAGATGCTTACTACTCCATGACTAAGATGATGTCATGTCTTGACTCATAAGCTGCGTACAGCTGGATCAGATTGGCATGGCTGAGCTGGTTCATGACCTGGATCTCGTTCTTCACCACCTCCTGTGAACAGCAAATTCACAGTTAAAGCCCATTTACACTCCTGCGTGGAGTCTATGCATTGCTCACGCCGTGGCCTACGCAAGTCGCCTATGCCGTTGTGAGCATTTATACTTGTGCACCTGGTGTGGGTTACATCGCTCTGCAATTACACCAAAATGCTAGTTCGCTAAGTACGGGGTGTTTACTAAAACATTTTGACTTTATTATAGGAAACAAAACTTGCCAAGCTTTGTAATTTTAATGATTGGTCCCTTTCAAGATTATCTAGTATATGTTTAAAATTCAGTTTACAGTTTACCGCAGCTGCTTTTGCATATGCTCTGCAAGCGATCTGCAAGCTGCTCATAGTCATTTTCACCCATGCTGTTAAAATCACTCATAGGGTGTGTGAAAAATGTATTCATAACTCTTTATAAATATTGCAATATTTATGGTAAAAAAAAATCACATCTGGATATCTGAAATTTCTCAAAATCATGCAGCCCTAGCATGAACGGCTGCAACTGTGTTTTATTTTAACAGCGTGAATGGCTGCGACCATGCCAGAAACAGCAGGCTAGCAACGAACCTAACACAGCTTGTCCTATGCTGAAATCCCCCCAGCTGGAAACAAACATCACATTTGCGTAGGAGGAAGTGTGATGCAATCAAGAGGACCAATCACAGTTGTTGGGGTTTGTGTCACCACAACATGTAGTTACATGTAGTTACATGACATGGCTATGCCGCACCCAGAGGTGGAGATTTCAGGTCTAGAGAGTATAAATCCAGACCAAAGTTTTGTTTCAACTAACCAGTTGAGTACTCTGTGACTGTGACTCAAATCACACTCAAATGGTTGGTTGAATGAAATCTTGGTTGGATTTGTACTCTCTGGACCTGAAATCTCCACATCTGTCCATACCTACAGTGTAGATTCTATGCAGAAGTATAAATCAGCCTTTAGTTGGATGGATGGAGGTGATAGGTAGAGGTGATGCACATTGAAACAGTCTGTGATGATACAGAACATTTAAACATGTTTGATTTTTTATGATGTTATCCAGGAATGGTCACATGTGTGGCCACATATGGTCATGTGTGTGGTCATGTGACGATTCTGACACAAGCAGAAAGACAAAGCTTACCTTCTCTTTTTGAGTTCTTGCTTTGATGATCTTGGCAGCCAGGGTGAGACCAGATGAGTTTTCAACGCATTTGTGAACCTGACCAAACCGACCCCTGTGAATAAAAGTGCAGAATCAAGTACATATTAAGTTCTCATCGCCTCCATATACAAAAACATTGACATCTAGGGGTGGTTCACTTTCACTGCTTTCCACCTTGATTCACACAAACTAACTCAACCTAAATATGTATAATATTCTTTCAAGGCATTCCAATTGTGTCAGACAAAACAGGCAGCTAATGCAAGATATTTTTTCATAAACAACCACCTGCCCCTGAGTGTGAGAAAAGTAATCTAAAAGCCCCTGAGAGAAGAAACTGCAGACGCTTAAATGAAGAAGAGGCTGGCGGCTTCTCTTTGAAGAAATGGATTATCACTGGCTGATTATCTCTGAGTCAGCATGGGGTTAGGGTTTCACAGACCGTATGGTGGTGGGGGTCAGTATATAAATAAACAGCCTTTACTCTGGACTTACCCACCATGGGAAAGGAAACTTGTCTGTGCTGGGATTAGATTCCCTTCCCCCATCCCTCCCCCGCATCCAAAACTGATGTCCCTTTTCATATATTGTGTCCTGAAGATTTGGTTCCACTGACATAACAAAAGCTTCTCACCCTCCCAGGATCTCCTCCCGGTTTACGGTGTAGAAGTTGGAGATTTGGTTGTGCTTGGCCGACACGATCCGGTGATCGAAGGGGGCAGGTGGAGGGGGACTGCAGTCTGAAAGGTTCCGGAAAGGAGGAGTGAGATGGACGGGAAGATAAGAAACAATAGCTTCAGCCATCTAGGGAACATTAAAGTGATGAGGTACAAAGCATGCCTATATATACACGCGGTACAATGTTTAACCATATATGACCAAAATGAGACTCAACCCACGATTTGAAACAGACAGGGCAGATCTGTAACTCATGACTCAAAGTTCACGTGAAGGACATTGTAGAAATTTGTGGTCACTACTCAGTTGGAGCAATGACTGTTCTGAAGCCACAAGCAGTACTCCACACTACATTAGCATTCGGATGAAACACCATAGTCTTTTTTGGTACTCTGTCCTCACTGGAATGTCTCCACCAGAACCAGTGGACAGATGTGTACAGGGGGGGGGGGCATAAGAGGGGACATAATTAATACAGAAGAGTAACTTTATTATTAGCCAATGATAAATCAGTGAGTGACGGGAAGAAGCACTCTGGGGGCCAATCAGCTTTCAGCTAGGGCCAGTGCCCCTGTGGCCCCGCCCCTACATTCTCCTCTGTCAGAGACTATTGAAAAAGGCGTCTGCAGCTCACCAATGATGTACTCCTCTAGTAAGGCCTCGCCATCTTTCTCTTCATCCTCCTTCTGCTCTTCTGGCTCCACCTCGTCTTCCACGGGTTCTGGACTCTTGCTTGTCTCTTCCACGCGACTCTTTTTGTGGGCCTCCTCTTCACCCAGGACCCCCGCAGTGACCCTTCTCTTGGGGCCAGCCTCGGGGGCCTCGTGGCTGTGGGGCAGGATGCCCGGGTGAGACAGCCTCGCAAAACGCCCCAGCTTGTATGAAGCTTCCCCTAACAGTGCTTTATATACTTGGCAGTTCATCAGGGTCTAAGGATTTACCTTCCAAAATATAAATGCTCACTTTAAAACATCTTTTGAAAATAGAGTTTCACAACTTCCAAATTCTGTTCCCAAACCTCTTCCCACCCAAATATGCTCCGGGGACCTTTTTCTAATGACAAGCACAAGTTGACCCAAGTTTTTAACCCATCCACTAGCCCTGATCTAATGATCCTGATCACCTGGATTAACAGGTCTGTGAGAGGCAGAAATCAATAAACTGCAATAATAATAATAATAATACATTTTATTTAAAAGCGCCTTTCAAGACACTCAAGGACACTGTACACAACAAATGATAAAAAAACAAACATAAGAGCAAACAATTTACAAAATCTATATAAAACAATCCAAATTAAAAAGATAGAATAAAAGAAAGGTTATGTTGGAAAAGCAAATTGAAACAAGTGAGTTTTGAGC